CAAAAATGTCTTGCTCTTCAATGCCCTTGATTCCTTTTTATTTTTAGATGAAAATTTGCTATTCCTAAAAAATCAAAAGCGTTCTTGAAAATATAAATTGGTCAACAGAAGTCTGTTAATTGTTCTGTAACCCCCAGACCACTATGTATTGGCTATTTTTCTCTATTAAAAACAGGAGGGTGACCTGAAACAAATATGTTTTTGTAACCTCAGTAACATGGGCCAACATGAGTTAGCCCCTCTTCCCTATCTGCACCAGAGCTGAGAGGGTGTATTGATTAAGACTGCAATGCGACGCTTCATTCAATCTGACTCCATAATGGGACACTGGGAGTGGTAATAACTGCAAGATGAATCTGGCAAATTTGCACATTTAACACTTGAGGGCACACACTAACACACATACTCTTTACATACCTACACTTTCAGCTAGCTAACATCTTCTTCTGATCATACACATCTGCAATATCTTGTATCAAGATCTTTACTGTATGTCCAGGTCTGGTTTGGTCATGTCTTTTTTGGCACCAAGAGCATAAGACATATGGGATGAATAATGGAGGCATTACCTCTGCCCCTTCGGGTGGAGCCTGTCACTAATGTGACCATTACAAACACTCATTAACTCAAACAGCGTATGTCGGCTCATTCTTCCTTCGTATGAATAATTCACTTAAATATTTCACTTTTCCGAAAGGAGTGGCTGTTAAAATATACATGGACATGATGTGAAACTGTGAAGAAATGTCCTTTTTTACTTCCTAGTGAAGAGGAGCACAGGTGAACAGCATCACTATCTGATAAACTGGGCAAATGTTCACTTTTGAACAAAAAAGCTTGTTTTGTGAGAGGACAGATGTGGTTAATTCAAACATAAGAGAACATTTTTTACTTTGTAGACATGGATCTGTATTTTCTATGCTGCAAACAAGAAGTAATGACCAGAAATTAAAACTGTCTCCCAGAATAGCACTATTTAAATTTTAACCAACCCAATTTGGCCTTCGGGGATTCTTAATGGTATGTAGTAATGTGTTTTAAAGCTGTTTTAAATGCAAGCCATGTGCATTTATAGTACATGTTCAAGCTAATGCCAGTCTCGGGAGCAAGGGAATGCATATAAATGTTTTTTTGAGGAAATAAATAATAAATAATAATAAAAAGTTTTACGGAATTTCTAAGCTTCCTTCTTTTACATTTGATCATTTAGTTGACTCTTTTGACCAGAGTGATATACACTGGTTACCACATCTTAGACTATGTGATAAATAACCTATAAACGGCTTCTTCACAAAGAAAAATATCCTAAAGACTTTTTATTCAAGTTTTTCACTGGCTCATAGTATAGATACTACAACATGACTTATCAGTGACATTTTGTGTGCTGCAGAAAACCAAAACCGCGCTGCTCTTTTACTCAGCTTGATTTATCAAAGGCTTTTCACACTGTCAATCTTTTTGCTTTTGTGTAGATATGCTATCAACCTTCCGCAATGGGGATGTGATTTAAAATGACATCCGTTAGTGCTGATACACAAGGCATCTCACATATAAACGGGGTCCACAAGCATCTATAATTGGAACCTGAAGATTTAAGCAACAGCAATACATCTTTCCTTTCATTATCCTTAAGTATGTGCACAGATTATATGAAATGCCGTTATACAAACTGAATTGGATTTTGCCTTTTTTTTCCATTTTTGCTCTTTAAAAAAGCATGATGTACCAATTGAATCATATCCAAAGGTCTAAAATATGTACGGGACTGCAGTATCTTTGACACAACAAGCAACGTATAATGCACAGAATCTACACAAATCAAATCAGGGAAACAGAATCATTTTTACAGCCCCAGAGTTTATTATTTTCAGCTGTTTGAAGAGAATGAAAGCAAAGTAAGGAAAGCAGTACCAAGCTTCCAACACTACTGATCAGAGAAGCAATCCTCACTCAGGGCCTATCTGATTGGATAAACTCACATTTACATCTGAACCATGGCAAGCTGGCAAAAACATCCCAAACAATTCAGAAAGCAATTACAAGAAACAAGGAAGAACCTGGCAAGTTCACTACAGTGCCAGTGCATCAAAAGAAACAACTCTGTCTGGCCATTTACCTTTATTTCTCAGTGGAATATCAAGCACAGTAATCCTTTAAATTGTGTGGCTTTCTACACAATTTAGTCACTGCCATTCCCCCTACTAGCTACGTCTCTCCCATGACACAATGTTACAAAGCTGGAAAGGTGAAGGCTACCACAAGCTTCATCTTTGAGACATGAGAAGCCACTGCACCTTTTCCAACTACTGCTTATGCAAAATTATTCAACCAATAGCTGAATGCGCTTGGAGGAGAGCACTAACTTCCCAATTCCGTATGGAAGAGCTATCAGGCACCTATTAGGGCTGGCCTGTCACCGCTGCTGAAAAAAATCCTAGAGGAAACACTGAGCTGGCCACAATTACTTTCCAAAGTTGTTCACTTTCATAATCCTATGTTTACATCACAACAGACAGAAGCCAACTGGGTGTATTGCAGTGTTAAGGTGAATACAGGTAAATAAAAAAAAGCCAAAACCACTTTTACTGAGACACATCATGGATCTTACAAAAGCAGCAGAAGTTCTAACTTCTGACTGGTGCTGTAACACATTTAGAGTGAATATTGTTTGTTTTTTTGAGTTCAAGCTGTGTGTGTCATCAGTTTGGAGCTATTAAATATATACAGCTAGAAAGCAAAACAGCTAATCTGGTTTCCATACAACAAAAGACCATTAAATTGTTAATTGCAATTTTTTATATATAGCAACTAATCATACATTTTCATGATTGTGACAAATCTACTCCTGACCACATATGGCTGGCTGTGGCATCATCAGAGATCATACTTATGATCTCTGGACATTAGGGTGAAACTTTAGACAGTTGTACTATAGGAATCTCATTATTTACAATAAATGTAATAGGAGAAGTAATCTTTATGTTGGGCAGCTGATTATGAGATTACTATATCCTGGGATGAGATATTATCTACATACATCTTGATTTTCTCTACCATGATACCTTAGATTTCTTGCTTTTGCCCTCTTTCATGCAAATCCCTGCCACATTACATGATGACAAGAAAGGATATGAAAAGAAGTCAGCACAGATTACTATTTATTTTAAGGCCCATTTGCAGAAATGCCCTCCTCATGCATCTCATCTCTCTTGACAACTACTCCAAATCAACAGCGGGTATGACACGTCTCCATCACATCAGAATTCCATCAGTGCCTATCCACTCAATTTACACTCTGTCAGTCACAGCTCCTGTTTCAGACATGACATGGGTGAATGCACAGTTTCTCATTGCAAATGCACAATTAGGGTGTACATATACAGTTTGAAAAATAGGAAGTTACTCTTTTCAGCTACCGTCAGAAGAGAGGGGCAGTGTGACGCTGTTTGATGTGACTTCAAAGCAGAATCATCTGAAGTGATGACTGTCGCTAATCTCTCTAAAATGTAATCTGCAGATTCCAGAGTAGGCTATCAGAACTAATACATGATTATTTAACATCCTGTTTAATTTGATTGTTACTGTACATAAATAAAGTGGATTTTGGTGATTTGAAGCCACTCACTTTATCCTTCACATGTGAATGTAATTTAACAAAACAGGCTTAGAAAAAGGAAGCAGACAGAGAGGCCTGTGTTTTAAAAGGACAAACAGAGAAGCTGAAGGCAACACAGAAGGCAATGCTGATTAAAATGTCAGTGCCTGTGCTCCAACAAACGGATAATGAAAAAACAAAGCTGGCCAGATAAGGGCTTAGATTAGCCTGTTCCACTCACACACAAGACTGGTTTATTCTATACATTCTGGTTCTTTCTTTTTGTCAGGAAGTGTTTTGAGCATTTTCGCAATGATTTCCCTGGCTGACAACAGAGTACTTTCTTTCAGATAATTCTTTGCTTAGTGTTGCATACAAGCATGAAGTATTCCATGGTGATGTCTGTTTTTCACCATTGAGGGGAGCCAAATACCGATGGTTTCATGCACCTCCAATGATGAAGAAGAGAGCAAACCTCATCACGTTTCATATGGGTTTCCTCATGTAAATACAGGTTTATCGAACATGAATCCAATCTCCAATGCTTCTATCAGACTTAAGATAGAGACTTTTTACTGTGACAATGTACAAATTAAAATGAAGGTCTGTGCTATTTGGCTTTAAATGAAAAAAACTAACCTGGGTGCAACCACCACAAAATGAAGTAGTCCTTTATCAAGCACAGCACAGTTACACTATTCACTATCACATACTACAGAAACATGGAGAAACAATTCAGAAGATTTCCACAATTAACCACATCACACCACAAGATCAAGATCAAGAGAAGATCCGGCACCCACAAGCTAATAATACAATTGACAGAAAAAACTTAGCTACTGAACACATGATAGCATTAATTCATATAGTGAATTGCTCTGCCTCATACCCCACAACTATGTGGCTGTACCTTAATGTCTTCAGGAGATGAAATCGTGGTTTCCTTGGATTTTCTTCCTTAGTAAAATGGTGAATTCCTTCATCTGACAAATGCAAGCCCTGTTTTGTTTATCCTATTACGAGCAAGCTATATATAGTGTGTGTATCAGGCACTCAATTATTAATGAGACATGAAACGAGATAACCTGGTAGCAGCATTCTGGGACCCAGATGGAAGACAACTCTGCTGTGTCTACCCATCTAATAATAGCAATTAAATTAGACCAGATAATTCATAATTCATCTAGATTAAAGAAGACCACATAGCAAACTGTAAGTTAGCCATAGTGAAGAATTGCAAATGTCATTCAGTGATCATTGTTAATGGATGATGATCAGTCATTAGTGGAGGCTGACCTCAAGGGGCCATTGATTAGCAATCATTATGCAATCAGACTGTATCATGGTGATCTACAGGAACTTTTTCATGACTGAACCCAGCAACAAAAATACGTTAAAAACTCACCTTAAACAGCCGTAGGATGTTGGCCACCATGATCGAAACGGAGCTGGCGGAAGCACCGATCACACCCACAATCTTGTCTGGCTTAGCAAAGATGGGTGGCTCTCCGCTAGCACAGCGCACATCAGAGGGGTCACGCTCAATGAGAGCCTGCACAAAGGTAAGCGACTGCTCCAGAGCGTAGGTGTCTCGTGAGCAGGTGTCCAAGATGCGAGCACCCAGCGTGACGTTGGGCAGTAGGTCAGGGTCTTTGTTGATGAGGTCAATGGCAAAGAGCATGGCCTCTAAGCGGTGGATGCCTTTCTCTTTCTTCAGCTCACCACAGGGGGCACCACGTTCTCCTCGTGCATGCACTGGGAAAAGGCCTCCCAATATAATGTCACCGTCTATTCTAATGGAATGGGCGTACTCAGGAGTAGGGGGTGCGAGGGGGTCCGGGCGCTGGGTGAAGGAGCATGTCACCACTGTCAGCATAAAAAGGCAGGTATGCCACGTCGAGTCCCTCGCCATGACAATGCAAGGTTAAGCTATGTAAGCAGGAGAGCGAGCAGAGGCGGACTTCTGTCAGGTGCAAAGTGGTTACTGCAGTAGGTGGTCAGAATGAAAGGGGTGTACAAAGTGAAAGGAGTCACCAGTACACCTGCCCTGCGGGAGGAGATCCCAAGGTAAAGTGACCATTCTCTGGGGTTTCCAAAAAACAAGGCTGGTCATCTGTGAGTTAGGTCAGTGGAAAGCTGTATGTGAGACGGTGGCGGTGTATTAGGAGATCACACCCTGGTAAGAGTGACCCTCACTACAGATCGTGCAAACACCTGGGACCCTGCATAAAAAAGAGAAGAGAAGCAAAGAAATGAGCCTCAAAGAAAACAGCCCCAACAAATGTGGGTGCTATTGGTTAACACACATACACAGCAGGGAATTCTGGTCTTGACTGATATACAGATAGATAAATAGATAGATAGATAGATAGATAGATAGATAAATATGTAAATATATATATATATATATATATATATATAGAGAGAGAGAGAGAGAGAGAGAGAGAGACACACACTCACACAGTTTGAAATTGTTTTTCAATAGAAACTACAAAGCAGATGTGACAACTGAGTGAACACATCCATTGAAGACAAGTCCACATTTAACATAGTAATACTGTGGCTACTAAAATTAACTGAGCCAAGAGCCCTACCACTAAAAAAAGAAAACGTTAAAGACGTCATGAGAAGACTTCTAAAGGGGCTCAAATTTACACACTGCACATATCAGCACAGGCTACTGAGGCTCTATCCAAGAAAACGATTTAAGAATCAGTGCGAGGCTTACTGCATTGAATTAACATGTTACAGCATTCAGCCTCACATAACACATTATTTTAAACTGCAGCTATTTGTTACACGAAGCCATTCGCAAACATCTCTGAAGACCGATCTTAAATAAGAAAGACGACGAGGTGTGCATGCCTCCTGCACTTCTAATAGATGAATGCACTATGGTAGACTTAATACATGAAAGATTTAATGCAATAGTGAATGTAACGTGTGGAATGTCTAAGTCTACGTCTAATAGTTCATCTTTCCAAAAGCATTTCTTCAGTAAGGAGGAAGAGCATCTTCAACACTGCCTCAGCTACTATCTGAAGAAACATCTCGCTCTCGCTCTTTCACGCACACATGTACCCATTATCTCAGTCCAGTAGCGAAACAAAGCAAATACACGTGAAATGCTCTACTTTGTGATACTTTACAGGCGCTTCATCTACACAAAACTGTACACTAAAATAAAGGTAAGCGGTAAAAGAGTGGTGTTACCTTGCAGTGCTGGCGCTCCGGTCGCTTTTTCCCGCCTGTGCTCTGAGCTCGGAGTGCGCGAGCCTCTGCTGCGGCGCTGAAGAGAGTCCGCGCGCTCCACAGCATCACCTCTCCTCCTCACAGAGCAGAGAAGAGCAGCCCTGTACCACTCACTCTCCTCACCGCGGCTTCTACCATTACTCACTCTTTCCCGTATCCTCGTCGAGGCACATTAGTTAAGTCAGTTGATGCAGCTACACCTCATTTATCTTCACACAACAGTTTCTCCACTTTTTTAAACGACATACCAAAAGTAGAATCTGTAAGGTAAGCGCTCCTTCGCCTGAAGCTAATGCTAAGCACTGCTGTCATATATTTCAAAACTGCTGCATTGCATCCACTCGTTAATGCATCCAAACGGCATAATAGCACTGCAAACCCAATAGCCTAAAGGCAGGTTTGTGCTCAGAGAGCGGGAACCTGCAACGATTCCAGCGTCGTTTGTAGAAAACAATGCGTTGGCGCCATCTGGTGTGGATTCCAGGGTTCGGGTTAAAGTGGTGGCGTTGCACGTGACGCAAATGGGTTGTCGTTGATCAACTTTGTAAAACTCGATGATGCAACTGTAGTATAACTCTTATTTTCGTCTTAATTGCAAGATACCGCAGCTGCCTGTGCTCGCTCAATGTCCCATTATCCTGACTCACTGAATGTTCATTCAGGGTATGAATAATTCATGTAAAGCATTATTGACGTGTGCAAAAGCCTAGCATTTCAACCACATGTAGCCAATAGCCACTGATTCCTCACAAGATTCCACTCGAAATTTTACATTTCTAAATTCTTAAACTTCATCAAACTTTACTGAATTAGCTTACATACTATACAGAACTACCTTACAGAACGTGCGTTTCACATGATCCTACGTGAAGTGTCTAAATAACACGTTCACCTAATGTGAATAACAACAATAGTAAGTACACCTGTGGCATTATGCTTGTGTTTTACATGCAGTCGTGTGCAAATTACTGTTTTGTGGATTTTATAATTTACAAACTTAGATAAGGCATTTTTCTGCAAATTTTAGTTCATGATTTCTATTTATTTGCTGAGTGCGGCACTTTGGAAAAAACATACATATATAAAATGTGCCATAACGATTGCACAGGCCACGTTTCATGCTTTTTCTTACCCCAATATGATAAACAGTGGAAGTGTGCAGAAATGTGTTCTCTGTAGAGGATGTGTTAACTTATTTACACTTAGAAAATCAACAAAACATCCCATTTAACTAGGGGTGTCCAAACTAACATCTGCACACGACTGTAATTACATATTATAACATGTAGAAATGTATGTTGTCATGTTACACCATGAAATTACACGTGAGTCATGTAAAAAAAATAAAAAAAATTAAAATAAGCCCACGTGTAAAAAGGTGTGGGAAAATAACACATGAAAGTGTCTAAAAAAATCATCTGATTGCTGAAACTGAAAGTCATGTGCTTTTTCTGTAAGGGCTTTTCAGATTTTTTCTCTCAAATTATAAAATATCTAAGTAAACACAAATAATTTTTAATTATTATGCCTTGATCACAATCTAATAAATTACTGTGATTAGTTATTAGCAGAAAAAGAAGAAGAGAGAAGACCAAAAAAGAGAAAGAAGAGAAAATGTGATTTTAACATCTTTATTTGAACAAAATCAATTCTATTGAAAGCAAGGGATAGAAAGGAGAGTACTGTGTAATAACAGATATAATACAGGTTTGGGAGCTATTTTTAAAGGTTACACCTTTTGTTGAAAATGAACGGTGTCCAGAAGAAGCATTCAATTTGCAAACCAAGCCAAAATTATACTCTGTTTTGCCCAATATTAAACTCATCCAAAAGATCTTGTAATTCATCATTAGATACTAAAAGCTGACAGAGGTCGTTCTTTAGTTCTCTATATATTGTTAACTATGTGGTTAGCTAGTAATGACAACAATATACAAAACCGGTGCAGTAGTATCCAATAATGTTTTGGTCACAGATGCAACCTCTAATGAGAGATTAACAAAAGAGTCATACTTCTACAAAAAAAAAAAATCTTGTCTTAGCACAACCTGAGCAGCACTGACTTAAAGGGCAGCAGAAATTTGAGCACATACAGTAGGTACAAGACTATAGGTTTAGCAGCCTTTTCATTCATAGGGCAATGGCAAGAGTTGCATTAAGGATTTAATGTAAGTAATCCTACTTAAAAACTGATTCATAAAATTAATTGTATCTGTTCTGGAATAAGAGCTAAAGGAAACACATACAATAATTACTTGAGTTTGGGAAAGTTTCAATTGAATTAAATATTTTTTTTGTATCCTAACCTCTTACATTTGAGAAGTACAAACTATAAGTGATCAGTTTTACCAATTTTACACAAAGTATCCATTCCTCCATTTATTCAGTAAGGTGTTTCAGGGAGAACAACACAAATTAGGAATGGAACTCATCAGAATTTGCAAATTTTATTTTTCTTAACAGATCAGTTCACAAATAGCAAATTTCATCTAGATTTTAATAGCAGTCAGAGATGGGTTGACTAGTCAAAAATCACAATCAAGGTACAGTTAGCTGTTATACTGTTACTTTAAAACAACTCAAACAGCTCTCCAAAAACAAGTAGAGTGAGAGTTATTAAAAAAAAAAAATAAAAAATAAAAAAAACACACACACAAGGTAGCCAGTCAAATAAGATGTTACCCAACTACTCCAGCACCAAGTTACTCTGATTTAGATGATCAATATCATTCGGAGCCATCAACAGAACTGCAACTCCACAGGACAAAAGGCATTTACTGATTTCAAAACTGATGTCTGTTATTTGCCATCGTTCTCTTTTTGAAAGACTACTGGTCTACAGTTAAAGCTGAGATGTGACCAACAATGAGGACGCAGTCAGCAACAAATAGCGATAAACACAAAAAGTACTTAAAAAAGCTTCTAGAGGTGAGTGACCACATATGTCTAAGTAAAAAGTATATTTTTCACAAATATACTTCAGTAAAAGTAAAAAGTATTGTCACAATACTCAAAGTACATATTCTTTCGAATTCATAAGTACATGTAATTCAGTAAATGTAACTCATTACTACCCAGTGATAACTTTCATGTTAAAGGATTGTTCATACCTGGAGATCATTTGTTTGGTCACAGCGCCCTCTGCAGTACAAAACTGAAAACAAACACTTGGTGGAGGTGTTCCTCCCGCAGCATTTGTATTTAATCCTTCCACTTAAGAGTGATCCTCCTTCTGTTAAAGCTTTCCAGTCCAACATCGCTGCATTTTATTTGCTGAAGACATACTCATATATAGGACAGTCCAGTGAGAATGTGCAATGTAGTGGCAGAAGAAAACAATCTAAAGAAAGAAAGAAACAGAGTTGAGTGACTTGGGATATTACTCTTAACCCTGATGTGACATGAGAATTATTCAAACAGAGCAAAGGATTTCGGGGGGAAATAAATAAATAAATAAATAAAAATAAAAAAACAATTGAAATACAGGTACTTGTAGATAGTCAGAAATGTAAAGAATCTATAACTGCAGTCACTAAAATTGTAATAAAAACTAAACCACAGAATCTGAATCTTTCCGCTACATACAAAATTACACACATCATCAGGTTTATCTTTACACTTATTCACAATTAAAAG